GTGATGGGGGGAAAGATCAGCTGAAGGGAGACCACAGGCAATGCTGGTGACTAGTCCTTGGCCCTTTGCCTGCCTGATTTTTGGCTATACTGTAGCTTCTAGAGTTCACTTCTTTTTTAAGGTCCGAAAAGCTACTGTTTCCATACACTTAATATCTTCTATCAGATGTCTGCTCTGGAACTTGTTATTATTTATATGATGGTGCTTTGACTTCAGTGCTTTCTGAATCACAAGCCTAGAACAGATATGGCGCAAGTAAAGTCATAACTCCTGATCTACATACTTATTAAGCAACAAGAGCTCAGAAAGTATTGAAGTCATTGTGTCAACAAGAATGCCAGTCCAAGTGTCATGAGAGAAGTATATATATCCTTGCACTACTTTTGAATCACAAACCCGCAACAAGCATGCTCTGAATGATTGTCAGAAAAATATCACAATTGTCTTGTTCTTGGACTGGGAACACAAGCCTGGACAACAGGCTTGTTCTTGGACTGGGACACAAACATATTTAAAGTCAGAGCAACAGCATAACAGCCTAGGAACTAACATTCTCAAAGCATATGGCAGCCCCATGACAGGGTGACCTTAAGCAGCAATTTTAGAAAAGGAGGTCAGAAGTGGCAGGCTACATGTTCCTCTCGGTGCAGATTTCCTTTAAAATCAAATGAGTAGATAAGAAAACATAAAAAGGAAACTGATGAGTCACCCAAAATGGTAATCATGTTGTGGAAACCACAACATATTACAGTTGTCAGGTACACTGAGACGTATTAAGGAAGAGCATTTCCAGGCAACAAAGTTTACTTTTACATTAATCTGTGTTGTATGAAATTTTCTCCTGGCAAAAAACCTAGAGTGCCTCACAAGGTCACTGGGAGTGTACATTTTGAAGCTGTGCTGCACCAATTCTTCTCTCTGCTTCCAGAATCATCAGGTACATTTAAACCTACAAGGCTATAGGATTCATCACTTACCTAAGAGTTATATTTTGACTCTCTTTCTGAAGAAGCTCCCTGTTGCTTATTTCCTGTGTATCACAACTGACATACCCATGTTGCTTTTTCTGACTTGCTGTATTTTTTTTACTGTTTACAAGATGACCTTCGACAGGCTTTCAAATACTTGGCATCTTGTTCTCGGCCCCAGCATTTGTATGCAACTGAAAGTTCCACTGAGACTCACATTACAACTACCCATAAACAAGAGCTCCTGAATGTTCATTTTGGAACAATCAGATTCTTTGAGGTTCTTTTGCACATACAATGCTTATTGTACAACCTTCCCGTAGGCTGTAAGTCATATACCGCACGTCTCTGAATCATCTGTGCCGCAATATTGTTAATGATTGACAGGAAATATTCATCTTATTGTTTCACTCGACACTAGTATCTAAAATGATCTTTTACTGATTGTTGGTATCGTCCGTATAGTTGCTGTATGTTTTGGTACATTCAACTGGAATATGAATACTTTATTTTCATATTTGTTGTCATACATACTGTTTTTTGCCTGGGCACATTATTCTATAGGTTATGCTAGGTTCCAAGCTTATCTTTACTATGCAGCTTATTTCATTTTGAAGGACTTCTGTATTTTGCCGAGTGAGCCTGCTCTTTTATTGTTACTGTTTCGGCTGTGCTATATCGTCCTTAAACTGGCCCTGAACCTTATAGGAAACATCTAAAAATGTTAACTTCCCCTATGCAGTACATTGAACAATTTACCTTTTGTCTTGCATTCAGCTAAAAAAATATCAGTGCACTTCTTTTGCTGAGGCACTGACTACAGCCTCATAGCTTTATGTCTGCAGCAAGAGATCTAAGGCACTGCTGCATTTGACTGCTAGCGTTATGGGAACCAGAGTGAGATTTGGTGGTAACACTGCTGTATCGCTCACTGTGATTTTTGTTTGCTGTGCATGACAATATGCAGTGCAAGGATCCCTCTGCTTCATCATTTATTAATTCAGTCACGTTTTCTGATTATCTGTGCTTTCCCCACTCATCCTGCTGCTTCTTGAATGTTCCCTCACCAGGCATCAGAGGGGCAGCTGTGACTTGGGGAAGCAAAGCCTTGCCTTTACCCATATGGCTACTTTCACATAGAGAGACAAAGCAGAACAAAGCATGGTAAGTCAGTAATAGGGAAAAGAGCAGCTACAGGAAGACCACAGACAATGCTGGTGACTAGTCCTTTTTCTGGCTGTTTTTTGGGGCAGAGCTTGTTCCCCTTCTTTTAGTCATCTGCCGATTGTAAATTATTATTAATATAATACAGGATTTATATCGTGCCGACAGATTGTGCAGCGATTTACAATATACAGTAAGGAGGAAATTACAATTGCAATTCAAGACAAGATGGTAATGTAAATTTTCTTTATCCCAGTTTGGAGAATAAATTAATTCTGGTGGTCAATTACTTACAACTGCATGTGCAATTCCTGGTTGGAATATAGTTGATAATGACTAAAAACTGCAACTTGTATGGCCATCTTTAGACGTTTTTTTTCAGGCAGTCATGCTAATTGTATTGGTGTTAAGCACCAGCTATTCTAAAAAGCAATTACAGGCAAGGCCATAGAGAACAAAAACATTTGTTTTTTGCTTTTTTTTTTTTACTAGTCCTTAAACAGGCCAGTCTTCCCCCAGTACTTGAATCTTCTTTAACTGTGTTTTCTAAAATGAGGTAGATAGTTTTAAAGGTCAGGAATATCAAGTAAAAACGTTAATAGACTTTTTCAGACTGTGGAATTAGAGATAGTGCTAAGTCTTGAGAACAGACAGTCAATGCTCCCATTAAGATCTTTGTTTAACATCCCTTTATTGGACCTGTAGTTTTTATAAAAGGTTTTAACAAAGCTGCTTAAAGTTATTGAAAGCTTTGCAAATGGTTTGCAACATCTTGCTGTAACCACTGCTCTTCTATAAGCTGGAGTCCGTGTGAACAAAGATTAAAACAGATAGGATATGTGTAAATGACTGGAAGATCTTTTCTTAGGGGAAGAATGCACAATCTTGCAAGATCTCACAGTGCCAATTTGTAAAGTAGTATAATAAAACAAACTTGACATTTAATAGGCACATTGTTTGCCTTGTAAAACACCCATATGGCTTACCAAATAGTTTTAAAGAAACAAAATGTATATAGATATAATAGGTAAACCTGTATATAAACTGCAATTAGTACAATCATTTTTATAATGCAAATATACAATTTTGTAAATCTATGTTTTATAATAATGGTTGGTAACACAGCTGTAGAGTTATCACAAATATAGTAACTAATAAGAAAAGTATGCAAGCATGGTTCATATCTTAGTGTATGGAGGAATATAGCAATGGGGAGACATAATACATTCATAAACCTGACTGTGCAACTTAGGGATCAGCGGTTACCACAACAGTGTGTCGAATTCCAAAAAGATCGAATGTGATGTATTGCAGCTTACCAATCCATAGATGGGATGGTTGCAGTAGTTTTTTCACCTGGAGATCCTGCCAGTAACACACTTCCTGTTCTAGAGTAGCAGCACTGTGGATACTGCACTACACTTATGAAGAATCAGAATTGTCACCTTAGACTGCTCTTTCAGCTTGGAATACAAACATCTCCCCTTCTACTCATCTCAATTACATAGATTAGAACCTATGTCAGACTTTTATTGCCATCTGCGTCTTTCTCTGAAGTTTTAGAAGTAGTTGGGTTTTATTGGAATGATATTGCTGTGTAGGAACAGTAAGGTTCCCTTTGAAAGAAAATATATTTAGGCAGGAAGAATACTACCACATGTGATGCTGTATGGCAGGCCTGAATTTACCCTTAGGCACAGAAAACATATGCATATAAGCAGCAGAGGCAAATGGGTGACATTTAGCTGTATAGCTATCAACCACAAGTTTTCCCCCATTACCAGTACCAACACAGTCATCTCATACAAGCTTACACTAGATGGGCAAAGGTTTGTGAACACCTGACCAGCACGCCTATATGAGCTTGTAAGACCTCCCATTCCAAAACCATGGGTTTTAGAAAGATGTTGGCCCCCCTTTCTTTGCAACTGTAACAGTCTTCACTTATCTGGGAAGGCTTTCCACAAGATTTTGTAGTGTGTCCTGTGGGAATGTACCAAAGCATTTGTGTGAGGTTAGGTACTTGATGTTCGATGAGAAGATCCAGCTCATTGTGGCGTTCCGATTTGTCAAAGGTATTCACTAGGGTTATGTTTAGGGCTCCGTGCAGGTCACTTAAGTTCCTTTTACACTAAACTCATCAAACCATGTCTTTATGGAGCCAGCTTTGTGCTCAGGGATATATTTATCCTGGGAAAACAAAGGGGCCTTCCACCAAACTTTTGACTCAAGTCTGGAAGCCCCAAGTTGTCTAAAATGCCTTAGTAAACTGTAGTATTATTTTTGAGGGTGGTCCACATTTTTTGTCCGCTCAAATTGGTACGATGGTTGTGTATCTACAAACCTTTGGCCATATAGAGTATTTACACATTGTCACAATATTGTAGACCAAGCTAGGAACAGTAAAACAAGAAGGTATTCTGTGTGAGAGGATTATCCAGGCAGAGATGTGGGCACCAAAGATTGAGGACATTTAGCTTAGTCAAACTATGTTCCTCTGTCGAATGCTCAAATCAATGAAGTAAAGTGCTTGTGAAATATGCACATGGCGATATCTGAGACAGGTCCTAGTCGCAACACAAATACTTTACAAACATCTAAACAATAGGGTTTATTTACAGATTTTATGGCACATATTTAAATTGTTGCATTACACCACACATAACAAGCCTACTTTTGCCATTTATAATTGAGCCTAAAGCATAGGTCAGAGGTTCGCAAACTCCATCCCTCCGGCTGTGGTGAAACTACCAATCTCATCATGAATCTTCTTCTGGGAGTCATACCTGTGACTGTCAGGGTCTTGAAATGCCTCATGGGATTTGTAGTTGCACCTCAGCTGATGGGCTGGAGTTTGCCCACCCCTGGCATAGGTGATAGATGGTTATATGTATTTTCCCTGAGAAGCCAGAAGAATGACATCTTCGGAATCATGGAGGGGTCTTTGGTATCAGTAGGTGGCTTGTGTTGTGTTTTAGTGTCTTTGGCTCGCATTTCTTCTCAGATCTATGTTAGTATATATGATAGTACGTAGTTGCAGTCGTGGCACAGTTGTCTAATAAAAGAAAGTCCAGTGTTTCATTCTATGTAATCTTGAAATTAAATTTTTTTCACTGCATTTGGTTGATCCAAGTGGTAAAGTAAGGCACTCGGAAAATAGGCTCCTTGTTTGATTTCACACCTCGCCTTTTGGCTGAACCCGAACAGCACGGTGCTTATTATTGGTGCAGCAACAGCCAGAACATGCTACGCTTGTGATCACCAACACTGCAGCTGTGAAAGAAAATAAAAACAGACACTTTATTGTTTGTAGTGGGTGTGGATTATCTAAGGATTACCTATGAGTTATATAAAAGTGTATAATAGGGATTTGTTTATCAAAATTGGAGCAATGAAGAGTTTGGACCTTTGCCGGTTGCAACAACCTGCTTTTATTTTTCTAATGCACAGAAAGAAGTGACAGCTAAAATGGTCTTTTTGTTCTTTCTTTTCCCAACTATGAAACAAAAATTGTAATTTTACATGATAAGAAATAGAATACTTCCTAATATCCAATTATCTGGGTACCCTACGTTCTTCGAGTCTCACAGGTGCCAATCGGTATTCTGATAGCATCCCACTCACTCCTGCTTTTGATTAGAGGATTGGTTATTGGTGTTAATGGCGGGGCAGAGTCTATGAACTTAAAGAGATAACCAATTGATATGAATGGATTGCTAAGTTGACCTAGTCAAAAGAGCAGCTACATAATGCTAAATGCATGTGCTATATAATGCACCATTGGCTTGTTCCAGGCTGTTTGAATGAGAAGATGGCCTTAGGCTGTCTGCTTTAAATAGACATTCTCGCTTTGCTCATTTAGGGCAAAGTGACAGTGTCACTGACAGCCAACCCACTGACACCTCTTCAGCAGTTCCCTGCTGCTCCTACCTCTATGTCAGCTGGTGCATAATACTCGGTGCATCAGGGTACGGGGCAGAATGTGACCGCCTTCCATGTGACTGTTCTCAGAGCTAACTGACAATCACTAGGCCCAAATGCTGTCACGTGACAGAGGGGGGTGACAATATGTAATGGTGCCAGTTCTGACGGAGGAAGGAGTGGCAGGGAATCGCTGGTAAGGCAAATATCAATGCAGTGGGGACGGGGGGGCGATTGTTACCTTCTTACAGAGGCTGCCACTTTGCCTACAATGGAAAATAATCTCTTTAAGTGAGATGTATGCTTTTACATAACTGCGGAAAGATTTATATAGAATAGTTATAAAGTAAACAGGAGCATGAATATTCCAAAATCACCATTTGCTCTACTCACCAATAAAAACAATTATGATTGTGAATGAAATAATTTCCACAGTGTCTGCCTGAGGGATTTGCTTTAATTTGATCAGAAGTTTTTCCCCCATTTTCGCCACCTCTTCTTTTAAATCTTGAGAAGTCATGGTGGCACAAAGGTGTTCTGGCAGAGTCTGCCTGAAATAATACAAAAAAAGGATACAGAATCAAAATCTATACTTGTATGCCAGTGGTTTTATGCTTTATTTAAATTTTTTCTATGGGCCCTGTAGTACTTACAGATCCTGTAGTACCTATGGACCCTGTACTACTTATATACCATACATGGACCTTGTAGTACTTATGGGTCCTGTAGTACTTACAGACCATGTAGTACGTATGGGTCCTGTAATACCTGTAGAACCTGTAGTACTTACAGACCCTGTGGTACTTATAGACCCTATATGGACCCTGTAGTACTTATGGGTTCTGTAGTACCTATAGAACCTGTAGTACTTACATACCCTGTGGTACTTATAGACCCTATATGGACCCTGTAGTACTTATGGGTTCTGTAGTACCTATAGAACCTGTAGTACTTACAGACCTGTATGGACCTTGTAGTACGTATGGGTCCTGTAGTGCCTTTAGAACCTGTAGTACTTACAGACCCTGTAGTACTTACAGACCCTGTAGTACTTATAGACCCTGTAGTACTTATAGACCCTATATGGACCCTGTAGTACTTATGGGTCCTGTAGTACCTATGGACCCTGTAGTACTTATAGACCCTGTAGTAAATGAGAGCCCACCTTCCCTGCAATACACACATGCATATGTGCTTTTGGTCCCATTCACACAAGTAGTTTTCCTCAGCATCAAATACAGTGTTGAGAAGTAGCAAGATTTGAGTCTGACATCCATGTTTAGGCTTTTTCTTTATCTTTCCCTTTATGTGCTTTTATGTACATTAACACATTAGCATCAATTTACATTATTTAAAGGCATTTCAACCCATATGCATGCGTTCACATGATTTAAAGTGCATGTAAACCCTAACAATGAACTGCTCTTATTTGTTCCCTTTGGGTCCATTACATGAACCATTCAATGTATTTTGTTATATCTGCTGAATAATTGCAAAAAAAACAAAACCCTGTTGATTATGTCAGAAGTTCAGAGTTCTCCTGTTTCTGACAATTCTTGTGTTATCTCCTGCAATGAACCTTCCCAGTTCTGTTTTGGAACTAGAGAACGAGAGCTGGGAGAGCAGGTGGGTCTGTGAAGTTTAGCAAACAACTTGGCAGGGCTGACACCACTCACAGATACAAGCTGTCTTTTATCAGCCCACAACTAGTGCTTTCTGGCAGATTAGCGGGTATTATACTGTACTTTCAGGGTGTCTGATGGGATAAATATGGGGACATATCTATGTATTGCAGCAATGTTCTGCATGTTATTTTTTATTTTTTGCCCCGGACATGCACTTTAAGAAAATCATAACTGTTACCTCAATGTCATTCTTCAAGTTCAGAAGATATTTTTATAAAAAGGTATACTGTAACCCTATCTGGCATAATTATTAGAGGGATTTACTTCATGATTTTTTTGTATTTTGCCCTGTCACACACTTTAACCATATGAAGATCCCCGTTTCCTAGCACTGAAAATATATTAGTACATTGCACATTAGCCCTGGTATGTGCTGCTCTTGTGAATGAGGCCTAAGAATGGCTTGTAGGAATTTTTATTAACCCACTGCAAGGGTTATATGTCTTTTTTAGTCGAGTCAAAAATATCGAGTTATACTTGCCTGATCTTTCGAGCCGGCCAGCTGTGACAGCGCACCCTCCTGCCTGTCTCCTGCTCCGCTGCAGTAATTGTATGTCCCCGGGTCTCCTCACACCCTATATATTGTGTATAGAATGTGATGACACAAGGATTCTTAGACTGCTGCAACAGACGGGGAGAAGGGCTCCAAGGACCGGTCTAAGAGCAAGCCGACTCAGAGGATTGGGTGAGTATAACTTTTTTTTTTATTTTTGACTCTAGTCAAAAACGAAGCAGCGCAGGTGAGTGGCTGAGTGAATTCTGCCCAGAGTTCTTCTTTAAAGTCAGGCAGCTCCAAGCACTATTTTATCAGCTCAGGCAAGCTAAAATACAAAGCACAGATGAAAGCTGATATTTAGGCTGCTGCCAGCAGCAAATGACAAGGTAACTAAATACAAAATGTATTTTTTTGATACATGGATACTTATGCGAAATAAATAAAAGTGTTAGGTTTGCTTTCTCTGATGATATTGAGAAAAACAGCTTACAGTTTGGCAGCTTTTTTTGAAAAGCATTTAGAAAGTGGTAAGTTAAAGAACCATGAAGGTACATTATAATACAGCTTTCCTTAGTATTCCCTGCTGCAGTCAGTGTAAGCTGTTGTGTTTTTCATCATGGCAGTACAGTGTATTGGTTCCCCGGGAACCCCACTCTTTCACCCATGTTTTTCAAATACCTTTAGGCCTCATTCTCATGGAACGTGTTGTCCCGTACAATGTGAAGGGCTGTTTTTTTTTATACATCTGGAGCTGCAGGAAGAAATGTGCGGGCAGCTCATGTAACTCTATGGAGATGCAGTAGCTGTGCGCCCTCACACGTTGCTTCCTGCAGCTCCGAGTTTCGAACGACGGTGTACAATTTCAGACACAGGTGTGGCTGTCAAAACTCGGAGCTGCGGGAAGCAGCGTGTGAGGGCGCACACCTCCTGCGTCTCCATAGATATGCATGAGTAGGGTTGCCACCTGTCCAGGTTATAAATGTTGTGTCCGGGTTTCATTGCAGCTGAAACCCGGACACAAGATGTCATGCAGACAGGGGCAACCAAAATTAAGATGGGGGCTACTGGTCCCCCACTGAAAATAGTGTCAACTGTGATATTTACATACAAACTTTCCATGCGTTGCTAGAGTGTTTGGGTTTCGATGGAAGAAAAGGTGGCAACCCTATACATGAGCTGCCCATATACTTCTTCCTGCAGCTCCGGGTGTATCAAAAACCTGCCCAGAGCAACACACCCTGTGTGAATGAGGCCTTAGGTATCATGTTTGTATTAAATTAAATATTGCCAAATGTTCTCTTATAAAAATAAGTAATATGTCTTAAGCCTATTTGGTAACCTTTTAGTTGACAGGTTGTAATTTTCAACCTTATGTTTAAAGGTGCCGAGACTTTCACACAGCCTTACGAGCTGTACCTTCATTACACAGGGCTGCTGCAGGCACAGACACATAAATAAAGCATCATCGTTTTATGGAGTAAAAATATGACCAGCGTTGGGCTGGTTTTTACACTGGCACCCCTGTCCTAAATGTTTGCAGTCATGTTATGAGAGCGGACTTTAGCATGAGTTGTGCGTCAACCTTAGCAAAATGCTTGGCAGTAATGGAGACAGCATGGCCATTAACTCACAAGTGCTGTTTCTTCAGCTGTCACTGTGTTATTTTAGCATATTCAGAAGATCAGAATCTCTTTGTGTCCCCCAAGGAATATTATTAACCTTACGGCAAGTGTCAGCTAGGTTTCAGACATACTATTGAAACATAGAGGTTCTTGTGTGTCTGCTAGACAAAAAGCATTTCGGCTATATACTTTAAAGAGACCCTGTAACCAAATTTGCAGGTAAAAGCACAGAAAAAAATCAAGTATTTTAAATGCTTACTGGAGGAGGAGCGAGGGGAATAATATAGAGAGTCACTTGCGTGGCAGCTCTGAGTCTGCTGGGGCATCACATCCAAGACGCCGGAGCCCAGCAGCAGTTTCTAGGCTTTTGGATGTCTACACAAGGTAGTCTTTTACAGGTAAATAACATGTATAGAATATGTTAGATACAAATATAATATTATGGGAACATTGTTGTTGAAATGAATGGTCTGGTGCTAGGGTCCCTTTTAAACCAAAAGTTCACTGTCAACACAGCAAAGTAGCCTTGAAGTGCTATTTCAGCCTGAGAAATTGTTTTTTATTAGTTAGATTGAGTGGGCAAGGGTTAGAAAATCTGTCTGGTTTTCTTTGTAGCCTGTAGCCTTACTGGGGAGATTCCCCTTCATTCTCTATCCAGGTGTTGTAGCTGTGACAGAAACTGGGAGCAAATCTCCAACAAGGGCACAGACATCAACTTGCTAGTGGAGGTTCTAGGCTACCACCGCCCAGCCTCCTGTGACAGCGTGTCAGGATGGAGAGCGGGTGCAAACACTCAGTGTTTGTAAATAAAAGTATGTTTACTCTGTCCCCAATTATGAATTCCTGTTCATTCATGATTGTGTACATGGTAAATATACTATCTCCACAAGTTATGAATGACCAGGAACACTCAGTATAGAGGATTCTTGTTCATTTATAACAGGGGCTGCAGAAAAAGAGAATTGAGGACTCTGTGTCCTCAATCTTATTTTTCTATTTTAAAATGGAAATATCAGAGGTCTGTTTAGACCCCTAATATTTCCCCGAAGCCCCTAAAAGTTAATAAAAAATTAAAATATTCAGGTAAAATTAATAAATAAGTAAAAATAAAATATTGAAAAAAGTTAGAATAAAAAACATTTTGTGTTTCGGCCTGGCTTTTTTTTTTTCCATTTCGGTTTTGAAATGTTCATTTCTGTGCTTCTCTAGTTCTCATCCTTCCTCACTATTGTCTAAAGGCTGGCGGCAGGCAAAGCTAGGGCAGAAGTTAAGGCCTCCATGTACAATTTACTTTATTTCTAGTTATTTGTATACAACCAATACAAAATTCCTCCACCAGGCTCTGGGTGCATAGACAGTAAACAAAGAAAGGTGATCTGCCCTCAAGGAATAGTGTTAACCTTGGAACATCTATTTAGCAAACATATTACTGGGATAATGTGTAGGTTTTTATTTGCTGTTAAAAAGAAACTTTGGCCACAAGTGAAGCCATACCCAAGACATAATGAGTTTTTGTATTAAACTGGTGAAGTAGCTTCCACATAATAAAAAGGAAAAAAAAAGCTAACACTCGTTCTTAGAAATAGCAACATTGACCATAAGTATGAAAGAACTGTGGTAAGACTCAATGCCAGTTGTCCTGTGACTACTATAAATATCCACAAGTAATACTTTGTGCCCACTAACGGGATACATTTAAATGAGGAATAACTACTTTTTTTGGATTCCTGACGTTACTAAATTCATAA